AGACTACACACTAGGTGGGATTTAAGAAAAGAAATATTTTGGAACAAATTAGGATTCTCCTCTTTAAGCCTTGGTTTTCGTTTAAAAATGGCTCAGTTGAAACTTGGTTTCTCTCTCAAATTTAAGTACAAAATTTCCTTCCAACTCATCATCCCCACTGTCTAAATCTAAGTTTTGGGTTCTTTGTTCAGGTTTCAGGCTGGGTGAAGTGCAGAAGCCCTTTGAATTGCAGTTCCTTCTTATTTTGCCTAGGGGATCGGTTCAGTCCCAAATTCATTCCATAGCCAGAAGCTAGCTCTTCCTCATCAGAGCTCCCCGTCCCTTCCTGTGCTTCCTGGCAGAAGTCAGAAGAGAAAATACTACACCAAGGACAGCGACCCGTGTGTGCTAGCGCAGAAAGCTCTGGCTCTTTTGGATACTAAGGAGGAGTTTTTTCCTCTCTTAACCTGAGTCCTTGAACTTGGAGGCTGCTGTTTTTTTTTGTTTCCCGCCCACCTCAAATGGGTCCTCAGCCCCTGTTGCTAAAAGAATTAAAAGCAAAACCACCCTGCGAAGGTGGAGGTAATCAGCAAGGACCTTAGTCCACATATTTTTGTTGTTTTTGGAGGCAGAGTCTCGCTAACTAGTTCAGGCTGGCCTTGAACTATGTAGCCTAATTTGACCTTGAATCTGGGGGGAGGCTCCTGTCTCAGTCTCCCAAGTGCTGAGATTACAGGTGTGTGCTAAAATGAGTGGCTAATCCACATATCTTTAAACATATCTAAAGAGAATGAAGTAGGTAGGTGTGCAACATAGCCTGTAATCCCAGCATTCTGGGAGGCTGAGGCATAAGGGTTGCAAGTTTCAGCCCAGCCTGGGCAACAGAGACTTAGCAAGACTCTGTCTCAAAGTCTTGCTGAGGATGTAGCTCGGTGTAAAGGCGCTGTGTTCAGTCCTTTCAATACCACCCCCTACTTTCCCAACACACACCATCAAGCAGCTGCCCAGGCGGAGAGCACGGGATTCTGGGAGGGGGCGGGGCGAGTGGAGCAGGTACCGAAAGTGGGAGTCTTGTGGGGATGGTCCTGCCAGAGGCCTCAGAGTACTGACAACCAAGGACTGGTCCAGGCCAGACCAGCTCAACATGGCAGTGAAGGACTGTTCCCGATGCTGCTCAGGCAGTGGAGGCCTTTAGGGCAAAGATTCAGAGCGGAGGTTTTTGCAGGGCGTTTTGAGCCCTTTGGAGAAGAAGCTGCAACATGGTAGATTCCAGCACAGATTAGAAGTCCAGTTGCTTAAGTCCAAGTTTGACCTCTGCCAGGGACTGGGCAGCCTTGGGCAAATGCTTCACCTCTGAGAAACTCCTTTTCCTCACCTGTAAAAATGGAGGTGCTGATAATAGGACTCATCCCAGCATTAAAATGCAAAGCAATAGGAAAGGTACTTGGCCATTTAAAAAATACTATTAAATGAAAACAAGGCAACTTTTATGCTAAGTGTCATGCTCATGAACTAAGAACTTATTTCAGACAGAGACCATTGTGTGGTGTGGGAGCAGCTAGGGGACCCTCCCCTGAGCTCCTCTGAGTCAGCAGTGAGAAGGGAGTCTCAGGTGTGGCTTTTGCACACCTGGGTAGGTCCTTCCCCTGCCGTCCTTTCCCAGCGGTGGAGGAGTTGTCCCTGGGGCCAGCCTCTTCAGGGAAGTGTGGGTATTTCCTTGCTAGGGAAAGATAGGAAAGCAGGTGCTTGGAACACTGGCGGCCACATTTTCAGGTTTCCAGCTTCCTGCTCTGACACAAAGCAGTGTAGGCTGTTCCACTGAGAGTGCCTTTACCTCACTGGTAAATGACTGGCGGGCCACTAGTTTATTCAGGACATGCTATTTTATAGGATGACCCCAGTTAGTTAAGGTAATGAGCACAGTGAGGATTTATCTACTAAGAATCTGCTGTGTGCACTGCTCCATAAGAACCAACACAGAAGAGAAGTGACAAGAAAAAAAAGATTTTCTTCTGGCATTTACTATTTGGGACAGCAGTGTTTGCAAGGTCTAACCTTGATAATGACCTGCTGTTTCTTTTTAGCTTACTGTCTTCTAATTGTCCCTTACAGGTGTCTATCTATGACCAAATTCTTTAAGAATCTACCTTACCAGCAAGCACTCAAAGGCTTTTAGTTTTGCTTTTCAGGTGTAAGCCACAGCAATTTCAGTTCTAATTCCTTCTGGAGTTGGTGGCTCTTATAGGACCTGGGTCTCATCACTGCGCCGGGTAGTATGCTTCAGACCCTGGTGGCACCTTGACCATGTACACCCAGCAGTCTGGTGCCCACCCTAGCCTCCCGAGAGTATCCCCATTTAATGCCTCCTCCACCACATCACTGGTGTAGATGGGCATGACTTGGGAGGTTCTGAAAAAATAAACACTGAGTTACCTTTATTTTGGGCATTCAGAGCTATACAATGAACATTTCATATGTACCCAAAAAATCTCTGTTATGTTCCCTCCATGTTTGGCCAGATCCAGCGACACTCCTAAGTCTCTTTGCTCTTTTGCATTTCTACTTCCCATTCTCCCAACAGGAGCCTTCCCACGGTCCCACGGCCCCTGCCAGAGTCAGCTTCCTGTCTCCCACAGCCTGCCATTCGGTTCTGCACCCATTTTATGCTTCCCTCCCCTTCCAAATGTTTTTTTGCGTTCAGCAAGTACAACAGCCTTAGGAACATTTAATTGCCCCTAAATCACCCGTGAAGACTGCTCCTGTGTAGAGTTGGAAGGACCTAAGTGGAAATGGCCCAGAGGAGGAAGTAGGCTCGGTCAAAATTCCTAGACTAAGCCTTTGAGGCTGTGTATCTGATGAACCGGAGCCAGGGTGGGAGCCATAGGGCCAAATGAGCCAAAATGAGGCTTGGTGGATTTCACCGCTCTTGATGACTTGGCTCCTGTAGTCTCAGCTACTCTCTAAGGGGTTTAATATCCAATCAGTTCATTGCCACTTCCCTGGGGCAGAATAAGCTTTTAGACATATATTGTGCTTTTCAGATCTCCCCTGGGAAACAGGAAGTTCCCGTAACAGATCAACTATTTCAATTCTCTGCTGGCACCCAGGAGAAATGGGAAGTTACTTAACGGATCAACTATTTCATGGTGGTGGAATTTTGAGGAAGTAGAATAAAAAAAATTCTCCATATTGATACTTAACTATGGATTACAGAATGTGTGTAATGATGTATTCTTTGCTGTGTGGTTATGGAACTTGGGTTGTAATAAACTGACATTATGTTTCCAGTTAATTTCACCTTTTACCAAATCATTCTGGCGCTTTGGCCAAGTGGAGTGCCCTTTTCTTGTTCTAATGTCTGTGCTGCCACCCACTGGCTGCCCTGACTAATTACACATTTGCCCAGCAAGCCAAGCTCTCACTGATGATAAAAATAAGAGGTGACATTCAAAGGCCTATCCAACCTACAGGCATCATTGTCCTCTGTTTCCTGTTTCATTCAAGCAGATGCCTCTTTCCAGTGAGACTGATGTCAGACATTACTCCAATCCATCTTCAGCAAAGACACCAGTGACTGGGGGGGGGGAGGATAGATGAATGTTATTCAACAAATAATTCATTTTTGAATAGCCTTTTGCATTTGTACGGCTTAACCACAGCTACCTAAATAATCCAGATTTTATTCTGCTCTTGAATTTCCAGTTTCTGATTTTGACCTTAATCATCTGGTAATTATTTAAAAACATCATTATTTTCCTTGGGTGTTAAAATCTATATATTTACATTCTGTCCCATTTCCACTTGTTTAAAAAACATTCTCAAGTTCTATTTCACTTTGAACATTACAGATCTTGCTCTAGGCATTTTAAATAATGAAAAGCAGGAGTTTCTATTAGCTTGAGTTGTTCATTTTCCTACTGTTCATGTATAAGCAAGCCATACCTCATCACACACTCAGTATCCTCATTCATAAATCGGAGTATTATCTCTGTCCCTTGGCACTGTGGTAAGAATTAAATGAGATGAAATGGGAAAGTATTTTGCCTACACTGACCCACAAACCTCTTGTTTCTAGCTCCAGTATTACTGAAAAAGATCCAAGCGGAGATGTTCCCTGACCATTCTGGAAATGTGAAATTGAGCTGCCAGTTTGCAGAAATTCATGAAGATTCTACTATCTGGTGGACAAAAGATTCCAAGTCAATAGCCCAAGTGCAGAGAAGGTGGGATATCGGTCCCTGGTTGCTTTTTGTAATTGTTAACTGCTTGTTTCTCAGTGTAGCTGTAAAATAAAAGAATAAATTACAGGAAGTGAAAAGACAAATTGAAGCAGATTTCACACCCACAATATTTGAGCAATGTGAGAATGGGACACTGATGTCTGCACAGGGAATGCCGTGGAAGAGTCTTTCCTTGGTTCTGCCACCCTTGAGTTCTGTGTTCTAAGGAAGTTGCACAGCCTTTCATTAGAGTTTTAAAATGAGGAAACACATCACATAATGTTCTAGCCTGAGGGTCTGTGATCCCTAGGTTAAAGAGCTATTTTCCTTAGGTCTGTATATTTTGCTTAGGTGTTTACTGTTTCATAAATTCTCATTAATATGACAAAGGTCAAACAAAGCTAAGAAAGGGAATCTAAAGGAAAAACAACCTATGAAGTTACAGAGAAGTAACAGCTGCTGAGGGTGACAAGCAGCCATCTAAGACGGGAAGACTGATTTGTTTTGGGGTCCCCAGGAAAGGAGATAGAAAAGAGAGGTGAGAGTGAGAATCGTTGCCAAGAAGACCTTGTGTGGGGTGACTCATGGCTCCTTAAAGCGCCTTCTTCTTTCATCTGATACACTCCAGGAACAAAGCAACTGGTTCAGTGGAAACCAGCACAATTCATACAACCCACAGAAGCTTGGCTCTGCCAAAGGAGGCGTCACAAGTAGACTGAAAGAATGAGAAAATTTGAGTTTTCCTATTAATTAAATTAAATAATATCTGGTTAAAACATATGTCTGGAAATTATTCCCCAAATGTAGCCTTGGAAGACTTGAGCTATAATTTCATTTCTATTAACCTCACTCTAGAAAATCTAATTGGATTGTGATTGATATAACAATGACTTGACCTAAAATGTCAGCATTACCCTGCCTGTCTTATGTATGCTTGAAAAAGAATTAAAATGGAAAAGAAATAGTTTGGTTTTTAAATCAAGGAGTTTCCTAGAGCTTTATCAGAAAGTACTAATTATTCATTTTAATTACTTTCTGAAGTTGTCAGCCAAGAACAATTAACCAGAGTTTTCAGTGTTTTTCAATTAACCAGCCTTTCTCTAAGCTCAGAATTGGTATTTAAATTTTCCAGATTCTTTTTCTACTGGAGGCATATTTATAGAAACCTAACCTCCAGTTAGAGAGTTTATGTCACTAGTAAGATTGAAAAGTCTTTAAATTCTCTGTGATGTTTGTTTCATTTCTTGTCGGCGGTAGTTTAGTTGAACCTATTTGCTTTCTCCAAACTTACACTTGAGGATATTTGGGAGTCATAAATCTTTTGTATATTGAAAGATAATTTATATTCTTCCAAATATTAGATAATTTATCTCATCTCTACTTCTAGCAGAGTATTTCTTTTTACATGCTCCTCCATGAAGTATTTCACTGCCTGTGTTAGCTTTCTACCACTAGCATGAAATACCTGAGTCAATTAACTTATAAAGAGAAAAGGTTTATTTGGTTCACAGTTTTGGGGACCTCAGTCCAAAATCATATGAATCTACTGCTTTGGGCCTCTTATTAGGGTGCTGGAAGACAATGGTGAGAAGCATGTGATCAAGCAAGCTGCTCACTTCACCTCATAACTAGGACACAAAAGAGAGCACTGTAGTCCCTTGATCCCCTTTGAAGGACACCTCCAGTGACCTAAGGACCTCCTGCTAGGCCTCTCTTCCTAAGGGTATGCAGCACCTTCTAAAGCACCACTCTGGGGATCTTTGGAGGACAGTCAACATCCAAAGAATAACCCTCATCAAAGTATAATTTTCAAAGAGGTGAAATCTCTCAAGTGTAATATGAGCATGTAGCAAAGGCCTTGCACTTATCAAATAATGAGGGAACCAGTAAGATGGTGAAGCTGTTCAAATGAGCACTGGAAGAACCAAAATTTATATAGTCAATCAGGCAAAGGGATTCAGAAATAAATTTTTCAATAGCTATAAAACTGGTCAATGTTAGACAGATCATAAACCTTGGAGGTTATCTTTTCCACTCCCCAGAAACCTAAAGTTAATTCATCACTGAAGAGTGACTGGAGAGGTTCTGTGTGAATGGTGAATAGCAAATCAAGCACAGGAGCATTCTCCTATAACCAGTCAATCCTGGTGAGCTGGCTAAATGGTGACCTACAAAGGACATGCAACTATTCTCTCCCTTTGTCCAAGTTTTGGATACTTAACAAGGTAGTTTGGAAGTTAGTTATCAGAAAACTTTTCTGTGGCCCTGGGCACTACTAGTAGGCTCTGAGGAAACTGAGAAGAAGAAAATAGGGGCATGTTCTTCCTGTTTGGGTAGCAGTGATTTGTCCTGGCTCCATGGGGATCGCTGACTGGCGCCCTCCAGTTCTCCTAGTTCCCTCTCTCCAATCAGGGGAGAGTGGCACTTCTAAGTGCCCTGAGCTTTGGAAAGAGTCACGTGGAGTGAGCTGGCTGCCACTGAGCAAGGTCTGGGCGCACAGGTCACATCATTCTTGCTGGACAACCAGCAAGTGATGGGCTGACTGTTGCTGAAGGCAGGATCCCACTGCATGGTCTTAGGAGGGACTTCTCAGCCCCGTCTGGATGGTGGGTGCTAAGTGCCCCTGGTTCCTTAGGACTGCTGATGGGTGCCGGGCTCTCTCAGAGCAGCCTCCAGGTTGAGTCCTTCTCTCTCTAGCAAAGTTCACTATTTTGATTGCACTCTAGATACTGGCTTCTTTTGCATTTTTCTCCACAACTGATTACCATTCCTGTTGTGCCCTGCCAGCATTTAGCCATGTTTCCCCCTAAAAATAAAAATATTCATTTCTTGTAGGGTAACAGGATGTGAAACTTAACTTTCTTTCCTACTTGGTTAAGAAGGTACAAGTTACTTTTCACTTCCATTGCCATTTTCCATTTATCTGTTGCCTCCCAGACTAGATGCCCCCTAATGACAAGGACCATGTCACCCGGCCCCCATCATTAAATCCCCCAGTACCGAGCACATAGAAGTCCTCTTTGGGACACTCAGAGGTAATTTTCTCTCCTGGCAAAAGCCCAGCAATGCTGCCGCTCCCACACTAGCGGCTCATGACCACTCACAAGATGAGGTCTTTTGCCAAATCTTCAAATATCCAGTGTCCATGACTCCTCATGACACATCGAACAGGTTATCCTGCTCTTCCCAGTGCCACGAATGAGAAAGCTGAGGGAGAAAGATCAGTAACGTGCCCAAGAGCAGCCTTTGGATTGGAATACAGGGCCTCTTGCTCTTCAGCCATTCTCAGAGGAAAACCTTAGGTGGAAGGGAAGGTACTGTGGTTTAGACGTAACCCCCCCCCCCACCAAAGTCTCATGTGTTCGGAAGGAGATTGGATCATGGGGTGCTATACTCACCAGTTAGTCTTTTGAGCTTACTCTGCTGTTTGAAGGTGGAGTTTGGTCAAAAGAGGCAAGTCAGCAAGGGGTAACCTAAAGGGTGGACTCTTGTTCTTGCTCCTCCTCTTTTTCTCTCTGTTTGCTGGCTGCCATGGGAAGAGCAGGTATCCTCTACCGTGCCTTCCACCACACTGTTTCTGCCTTGAGCCAGCCGACTTTGACCTGAAGCCACTGGAAACTGTGAGCCAAACTCCTCCTTTATGCTGTGAGTGTTGGTCATTTTTCCCAACTATGGGAAAGTGACTAAGAAGACAGGCTAAGGCAATGGTCTTCATGCTTCTGGGGCAAGTTTCAGAGAATTACCAGGCAGCAAGGGCGATGCTGTGGGGACAATCCTTCCAGTTCAGCCCCAGACTCCTGGGGCATCGTGAGCCCTAATTTCAATGCCAGGAAGTATTGTGCTGGTCTATAGAGCCCTGGAGGACACTCCACAATCCTCTCTCACTAGTTCGGAGTTTTACCGCCCTGTCAGACAATCCTCCACTTAGAATAGGACTCTCTTTTTTTTTTAAATTTTATTTTAAAGAGAGTAGTAAATGAGAGAAAAAAAAGAACAATAGCAGCATACCAGCATCACAAACATAAACAAATCAAAGCAAGAACATTTGAAGAGATACAGGGTTTCAAGACAAAATAATACTAGTTAACAGTGGTTGTTATATTACATGTTGTAATCTTCAACTTTGTTGCTCAGATTACCAGATGTACGACTGGAAGATTGTTCAAACCATTAAAGAGAATAAGAAAATAATTATTCGATAAAGCATTAGAGATAATACAGTGTTTCACTAGACAAGATGGTAGGAGTTCACCATGGTTGTTCCATTGCATACTGTTGCCTTCAGATCAGTTGCTCAGATTAC